TCTGTCAGGAAGCTGAGGTCCAGCAATCCCTCAGTGTCCGGTTCTGGCCCATATGCCATGGGGAGGGAGGGCAGGGCCCAAAGCCTCTCCTGAGATGTGTGGCCTCTCTGGGGCATCAGCTGGGGTTGTGCCCCAGCTGGGCATATGTAGCTTCCTGGGGATAGACCAAGGGTCAGTATCTTCTCAGATACACAGCGCCTCCTGGAGTCAATGGCCTGTTCTCTCCCAAGCACACACACGTTATAGAGCAATCAAGTGTAGGCTAGGTCAAGGTGAGGTGGAGTGTAGGGGGATGCACTTAAAGAAGGCTACAGGGCACAGAGCACATGTGCACATGCCCCTAAGGACACACAGAGAACTGCAAGCCAGTGCACACTGATGCGTGTACCCGCTGTTCTAGTCACAGTTGTATGGGCACAAGGATACCTGGACAAAGACAGGTAACCTACACACGTTCCCGATGACGGGTCTGTGCACACAACACAAGAGACCTGAACTCAAGAGCTGTGCACAGTAAATCTTAAAATTTTTTTGAAGATTTATTTATTATGTACACGGTGTCTGTCTGCATGTATGTTTACTGGCCAGAAGAAGGCACCAGATCTGGGTTGTGAGCCACCATGTGGGTGCTGGGAATTTAATTCAGTCAGTGTTCTTAACCTCTGAGCCATCTCTCCAGCCCACACAGTAAATCTTAAATCTGCACATATGTCCACACAAATGAGACAACTATTCACAAACAGATTCCTGCATATTCACAGATCTTGCCAGCTTTTCTCTCACACATACATACACACACACTCTCTCTCTCTCTGCCCATTTAACCCAGCTGTGAACAGGAAGTCAGTACTTTGCACACGACATAACCTGATTGTTAGTGAAATGCGCAAATATACCTGCACAAGCTCGCAAATGCACACCCAGCCTTCTCCACTGCTCACGCTTAAGCCCCTATCCAGGGAGCCTCCCAACCCAGCTTGCCTCTGCCTTTGCCTCCCTCCACCCTGCCCTGGCCCATTTGGCCTTCCTGTCTGAGGCAACCTCCTCCCCAACCTCACCCCCAACTTCCTCCCCCCGCAAGGTAACCACAGCACCCAGTTCCACTGAGGCCACCCGCCCTGGTACTCCCCGACAACAGCACTACCCTCTTGCTTGGAGGAGATTCTGAGCCCCTCTGATTACAGGGGCTCCCCAACCCCCAAACTTGGCTGGAGGCCCCAGGTGGCAAAACAACTCATGCCCAGGCACCACAGCCACTCCGGAAGGAAAACATTGCCAGCTGAGAGGGGCGTGTGGACGTGGCAAGGGCCCAGCACTCAGTAGTGGCCCTGGCCTGGCCTCACCGGGCAGTCTCTCCTCTCCTCCCCCCCTTCCATGCCAGGCCTCCAGGTGGAGTTGAAGTGGGAGCAGGGCAGCTCAGAGGCTGGTCCTGGCTTGTGCCTGTCTCCTCCTGCCCCTGTCCCCTCCCAGCTGAGTCAGTGTCCAAGCCTAGCAAGCAGGTGTCCTCTCCTACCCTGCTTTCCCTCCGGGGGGCGGGGGGGGGGTCTGCACATCGGCATCTGTGTAGCGCTGGGCAGACGCCTGTGCGCTGCCAGTGACTATTTTCCAGAATGGCTGTGCTGGAGGTGCCAGCTAGGAGGGCGGCTTGGGAGTCTTCTGTGGCATGGTGTATGAGCATTGCTGTGTTGTGCTGAACTGCTGCATTAGCAGGGTGGACATATGTGCAGGTCAGGCGATGGGGATAGCATCCTAGCCTAAGCGCTGTGTGGTTGCACCATACTGTATGTCACCAAGGAGTGTTGACACTATGTGCAGTGACTTTCTGGGAGATAGTGCCATGTGGGTGGGTGTATGCGTTTCTTCCTGTGTGGTTGGCCAGCCCAGGCTGTGTTGTGGTGTGTACCCTAGTGCCCTGGGGACCACCAGATGTGTCTGTGTGTGAAAGCGGAGAAACATTTGGCAGAACTGGGCCTGGCCTTTGTTTTGCAAGTCTGCTCAGTCTGGGCTGTGGGCCTCCAAGTCCAGGTTTTCTCTACCTCAAATTCCTTCTCTTTCCAAGGCAGATCAAGCTCCTGGTGCCCTCCCCTACCCCATAGTGACACCATGGGACAGACCCTTTGGTGACAGAAAGTATGTCAATCTGCCTGGGCAGGCCAGAGTCATAGACTTGCTCGTACTTCCCCCACCCAAAGCTCCCAAGGTGCCAGAGTATGCTCAGGACACCAGGTGGCAGTGCCTGTCCCTTAGACCACTGGCGGGAGAGGTGTGTTACCTGGAGGGGTCCAGAAGGGAGGGCAACTTCGAAGTCAACTCCAGCTCTCCAGGAAGGAGTTTCAGAGCCCAGAAGAGCAGTGGGTAGGCAAGGCTGACTCGCCCAGCTGCAGCTGCCCCAGCCCTGAGGAGGTGGAGGAGGAGGAGACACCTCAGCAGGGCCTGGTGCAAAACCGGGCCTGGACTGCAGCTCCCCAGGTGCACTGGGGCACCCACAGCAGCTGTCAGAGCAGCCAGGGCCAGTTTTGCAGGTCCCTGTGGCTGTGGCAGGGGCCCAGTTTTTCCCCTGTAACCAAAGGATGCCACACCTTCAGGGCTGGCTCAGGGCCTTGGCTGGTCCATCTGTGGAATGGGTAGCAGACCCTCTCTGCCACAGAGGGCCAATAGAAAACTGCTTTGAGAGCAAAGTTAGAAAGTTTTCTAAGAGCTTCAGTAATGGGAGGATTACAGAGGAGTTGCCACTAAGACTATGGAGTTGCCCCCTGGACAACCTTGACAGAGTCTGTATGGCCTTGAGCAAGTTTCTTAACCCCTCTTGGGCAATAATTTCTTTCTATGCAAACTGGAGTGGGACCCAAGAAGCACAAGTGCCTGGTACAGCTGGTACACAGGTGTCTGGTACATACAGCTGGTACACAGGTGCCTAGTACAGCTGGTATACAGGTGTCTGGTATAGCTGGTACACAGGTGTCTGGTACATACAGCTGGCACACAGGTATCTGGTACAGATGGCATGTCATAGATGCCAGGTGTCCTCTAACAGACCAATGCCCATGGCTATTTTAGCACCTCTGACCATCCACATTCACAGAACAGCCATTTGTCTCCTCTCCCCTGTGGCTCCTCCTATTTGAAGGGCCCTGGATTCCAAAGCCAGCTGAGGAGCCCACATTCTCACTATCAAGTACCACATCTTGCTTAGGAGAACCTGTTTTGGGACCATAATCTGTGACTATCCTCATTCTGGTCTTAGGTACTAGAGGCCACCTCTATCCTTTTATTTATATGTATAAATGCTTTGACTACATATACATATGTAAAACACGAGTGCTTGCTGTACAAGGGAGCCAGAAGAGGGTGTCATGCTCTGGAACTGGAGTTATAGATGGTTATGAGCCACCATGTAAATGTTTGGGATCCCAGGTCCTCTGGAAGAGCAACAGGTGCTTCCACCCCCTCCCCCAACCCTTTTTGAGACCTGGTTTTTCTGCATAGCCCTGTCCTGGAATTCACTCTGTAGACTAGGCTGGCTTCAAACTCACAGAGATTGCCTGCCTCTGCCTCCCGAGTGCTGGGATTAAAGGTGTATACCACCACCTGACCTTTGGCCCCCTTTTTAAAAAATCATTTTTTGTAAAATCTTTTATCTTCAAGCATACCATGGTCCCCATGTGGAGGGAAGAGGGCTTTGCAGGAGCCCAACCTCTCCATCTTTACATGGGTTCTAGAAACTGGACTCAGGTCTTGGCTGTATGTGCTCTTACTCTCTGAGCTGTTTCTGGCCCTCAAGTTTGCTGGTTTTTAACGGTTTTTGTGTGGGGGTGTTTTGTCTGCATGTGTTTGTGCACTAGACGTGTGCCTCTGGAGAACAGAAGAGGGGAATGGACCCCTTGAGCTGGTGTTAGATGTGAGGTACCACATCTGGAATCTGAACCTCTGGAAGGGCAACCATTTCTCCAGCCCCACACTCTCTCGATTATTCCTGTTTTGGTTTTCTGATGGCTGTGAGCCACCATCCTCTGGCAGGGCAGCCAGGGCTCTTAACCTCCGAGCTGTCACTCACCCTCTGACTTGTTCTTGTCGGTCTTATTTTCAGTTTCTTTTTCCTTATCTAAGTTGGTTAATAATCATTCTTAGGTTCACCACTATTGAGTAAACCCGTAGATTCATGTACAGGGATGGAGGGAGTCAACGAAAGCATGCATTTACACAGGCGCCTTCCACTGGTGTCCCCTGTGGAAGTGGTCAGTGGTCACCTGCACCATTGTTTCCCCCACTGGAAGTGACCAACAGCAGGCTCCTTCCTCAAGGATGCTTCTCTGGCCCTCCTCCCACCTCAGCACCTGGAAGATACCCAATCTTGCCAGTTTTCAGGCTCAAGTGTCCTTTCTAGGTGGGGCTCTACTGGTGTTTGGGTCTCTTGCTTCCTCTGAACTTGGACAAATTATGTGGGTGTCCATTTCTTCACCGGCCACATAGACTGATAGTGCCTGCCTTACAAGGCTGTTGAGGTTACATAACCTGGCTCCGCAACAAGGGCCAGTACAGAGGAAGAATTTTAGTGCTGGGGATGGAACCCAAGGCCATGCTAGACAAGGGCTGCAGAGGAAACAGCCTTTGAGCTGGGCTTTGGTGGAAAGCAAAGGATCAGAAGTGTGTACAGGATGGTATATGGTGAGGAACACAGGGAACATGGGGTTAGCACGTGGACTTCACCATGGCCACCATACACTTGGCTTACAACAACTGGTCACTCCTGGCTGAGGAAACAGGTCACTCCCAACCCCAAACATATTGCCAAATATTTCCCCATAGGGAAGAAGATTCCTTCTAGAAGGAAATTTGGAAACTAGACAGGGAATGGCAGGGAATGTTGTGCCCCAGAGCTCCAGTTGGAAAGACTCAGACATGCTGTTAGCAACCAGATCGCTTTGCCCCAAGACCCCAGGGATACATGAGCTTAAGGAACTGGGGGTGGAGTGTGAAGGAAGAAAATGACAGACACCACCTGGACTTGAAACTTTATTTCCTGCCAGGGAGCTCCTTATGAAGGAGCAGGGGTGAGGCAGGCTGCACAGGGTTCATTGCAGCAACCACAAGTAGACCCAGTCGATCCATGGTGGCACCAGCTGCTCTGATGGGTTGCTCACACTTTGGAATAAGGGGTTCTATCACTAGCACGAGGGTTCCCTGGGCTGGAAACAAGTGGGGTTCACCTAACCTGATTTACAGGGGACCCACTCTGCATGTAATGTGATTTACCTTGATAGCCAGGGCCCAGACGAGGGGCCATGGGTGAGCACTACGCTAGCACGGCTCTAGCAGACACGGATGAGCCTAGCCAGGCCCTTCAGGCCAGCAGAGAGGTCCTAAGTCTCTTGGCTCACAGTACTTCTCAACGCCACACCCCATGTCGGGACGTGACTACCTGCCAGAAAGCAGCTTCAAAATCCAGCTCTGGCCAGTGTTTGGCCCAGTGGGTCCATGTCTTCACTGTGTCCTGGGCATGGCAGAAGCAGTCCAGTGGCAGTGGCAGGAGGCACTCTAAGGGAAGGCCTTCCCAGGACAGTGAAGGGGATGCCACAGGGTGAGGACAAGGAGGCCCTTAGTGGCCTCATCTTACTCTACCTTGGCACTTCCATTCCAAGCCCCGACCCTACTTCCAACCGAGGAAGCTAGCTGCCTGAGGGTGGGGATAAAGACTGGGACCAGGGAGAGGTGGTGGGGGCCTCCTTGGGGGCCTGGTGGGCTTGGGTCATCTGAAAACCATCACCACAGGTTGAAGACAAGACTGACGGTCAGGATGATTCCCAGGAGAAGGACAAAGGGCAGCCACGTCTTCACGAAGGCTCCAACACTGACAGGGGAGAGCACAGGGGCACGGTCAGGTGAGCAGGCAGATGGTCCAGAACCCTCTCCCTCCGACCCAACAGGGTTGAAGGTCCTAGGAGGGTCCTGGAACTTATTCCTCAGTTTAGTTTGCCAAGGAACAGGGCCTCGTCTGATGCCTACTCTGTAGGCCATGGAGGAAGCAAATGGACCGAGTCTCACTGGCACCCAGTCACTGGCGACCAGGGGCTCCCATTTGAGGGTGAGACCCACAGAAGACTGGAAATGGATGGCCAGAGGCAGAGGGCTAGGAGTCAAGGTCTCAACTCATGCCTGGCCCTGTCTTAATCCTGTGCCTGGTTATGTGCTTTTGCGGGGAGTTTCTAAAGCCTTTTAGGGGCAAAGAAGACCCCTGAGAATTTCTCTTCCAGAAGCTCTTAAAGATAAGCACAATTAAGAACAAAGTTGGTAAGGGGGTGGGGTGGGGAGGCAGGGTTCAGTTCAAGTGTGAGATGGTCCTAAATCTGGGCTCTACTGTGGGATATAGAAACTCACCCACCCTGAGTTCTCTCTCTGAATGTCTTAAGTCTCACAGGTCATGAGGGTGTGGCTTCAAAGACCAACCTGGACTAGGAGCTCAACTATCCAGAAGCTTGCCTCTGACAAAGGACATGGGTGGGGGTGGGGGGTGTGGCTAGGTGGAAGGGGAACACTATCCCAAGAGATTTTTTTTTTTTGAGACAGGGTTTCCCTGTGGTTTTGGAGCTGGTCTGGAACTCACAGAGATCCGCCTACCTCTGCCTCCCAAGTGCTGGGATTAAAGGTGTGCGTCACCATCGCCCGGCCCCAAGAGATTTCTCTGTGTAGCCCTGGCTGTCCTGGAATTAGCTCCATAGACCAGACTTGCCTCAAACTCACAGAGATCCACCTGCTTCTGCCTCAGGAGTGCTGGGATTAAAGGTGTGTGCCACCACCGCCCGGCTTATCTAAATTCACCTTATTTAGTATTGACCTGAACACCTGTAGGCTCATAGCTCTCCTAGAAGCCAGAACCACTGCAGTCCTTTTCCCAGGGACAGGGACAGCCCGGAAACAGCTACCCAGTGAGCAACTGACAGGTCAACCGGGACCCACGTGGAGTAGGACTTTGCTACAGCCACCTGGCTCTCCACCAAGAGCTTGGTCGCTCTAGACTAGAACCTCACAGTCTCTCTGTTCAGCTGTCCTTGGTGACTGAAGGACTCCAGTGAGTCTTCCAGGATCCTTGGAGAGTGGCCTGGGGGCGGGGCTTGCAGGTGGGAAGACTGCTCACCACTCACCTGACTTACTTCCCGTAAATCAGGCAGAAGAAGCAGAGTGTCACCATGTTCCAGTTGGTGCTATTGTTGTACCGCATCAGGTTCAGGGCCAGCGCCACGTGTGAGTGGCAGTTGTCACAGCAGAGATTGTGCTGGAGACACAAGAGCAGCTGGGTCAGACTGGGCTGGGGGGAGGGGAAGGGAGACTCTCTGCCCCCAGGTCCCACCTACCATGCGGTGCTTGTATTCTTCAGATGCATCGTGCACAGCTGTGTCCCATGCGTTGGGCCCACTGGCATACACCTGTGCGGGGTCCAATTTCCAGAACCTGAAGGGAAAAGGGAATGTTCTGGGCACTGGCTCAGCCCCTCTATGGTCTTCCAGCTTTATGAATGATTTCTGTGCGGGGTGCCCAAGGCTATGGGGCCAACCAGGTCCTTGTCTAGTATGGTGTGCCTATTTCCTCCCAATTGAAACCCTTTCTTCAAGGAGGGGAGCTCCTTGAGACTTGGAAAATAAGGAAATCGAGTCTGTTCGCGTCTCCCCAGGAAGTGAAACAACTGTCACCAGGCAAGACCACCAGTGCCACGATGGCTCCTGGGGACTCAGCCTAGTCCAGAGCACCGTGTGGTCGGAATGTTTAGCTCCTATTTTTTTTTTTTCTTTGAGACAGAGTTTCACAGTGAGGTCCTGGCTGTCCTGGAACTCACAGATCAGGCTGGCCTTGAACTCAGAGATCTGCTTGCCTCTGCTTGGATCTAAAGGCAGGTGCCACTGCCACAACCATGGGCTGTTCCCTATTATGTTAAAATCCTGACCCCTGAGGAACTCCCTTCCAGGTGGGGTCAGTAATCCTAACCCGAGAGACCCCTCCACCCCTTTCATGTGTGGGAACCAGCAGGCCCCGTGGCCCCCGCGAGGCACTGAGTGTACCAGCACCCTGTTCTTGGCCTTCCTACTCTCCAAAGCTGAGACATTTTTGTTGTTGATGAGCCACCCACTCAATGGCATTTTGTCATGGCAACTGAATGGATGCAGACAGAGGGAAGACCTGAGTCTAGGCTGAGGGGTCAGGTCAGCACTGGGGGCTGTGGGAATAGCCTGAACGAGGGAAACCTGCATAAACTGCGCAGCGTGTCCCAGAAATAAGTGACTGAGCAGCTAGAGGATTCAGGGGAAAACAAGGTGTCGGGAACCAACTGGCAGCTGAGGGGGAGATGCAGGTGTCGCACTGAGGGGGACCCAGCAGCATTCTCCCCCACTCAGATTTCTAGAACCAATGGCCTCAGGCAGAAGTGGGGTGGGGTGGGGTAGAGCCACTGGACCAGCAGCAGGTGCGGCAGGGAGAACCCTGTGGTCTAGACTGTGGTACTCAGGGGCTCCGCATAAAACTGCCTTTGGAAATACCAAAACCAGACAAACACTCTGAAAAACAGCCCAAAGAACCCCCAGACCACATCTCCACCTGCCTGAGGAAGCCAGAGATGGGGGAGTTCTGCTCCAGGTCAGCTCGTCCAGCAGCTTCCTGTGTAGTCTTGGGCCACAGAATACCTGCTGTTCTTCTGAGGCATTGTCACCAGGCCCAGAGTCACAGGAACCACCCAGCGCTGAAGACAAGGCTGCAGCGAAACCTTTATTCTCAAAAGACCTGAGCGGCTCACGCCCTCCAAGCAGAGCTACAGTGGAGCCCCAAGCAGTCTCCTAGTTCTGAAATGGCCTGCTTGTTCCCCAGCATGGAAGGACTCCAGGCTACACAGGAAGACAGACTTGCTGTGAGAGCTAGCTCTGAGGCTTCCTAACTGTGTGGCCTTGCCTGAGTCCCATCCTTTCCGTGCTCCTGTGCCGTGGATTGAAAACACAACCTCCCAGAACTGAGGCCAGACCTGGATGGTCTACAAGATGAGGCCCAGACAGGGAATGACACACTAGGCATCGGGTACAGGGCACTGTGTACTCAGGGGTTCTAACTGTCCTCAGGGTGCTGGTTCCTGCTGCGTTTCACAGGGGGGGGGGGGGCTGACGGCTGACTGGCTGGCCAGTTACTCTGAGCAGGAGGAACCTGGCCCTAGGGCTAGACACAAGACTATTCACTTACTTGGCAGGCTTTCCAAAGGCCATGTTGTCTTCCTGTTGAGAGACAAGAGCAGAAGTCAGTGCAGAAACTACACCCAGTCTAATGACACTCTGTGCCAGTGGCTGAAGTGCAGTGACTTAGAAGGGACAGCAGAGTTGGGACACAGCATGGCATCTGTAGTGCCAGAGCCGCTGCTCTGTGCAAAGAATGCAGTGCAGGGGCTTCTCTGGGCCTCCCTGACGTCCTCAGCACAGTCTCTCACCGTTCATCATGGGCCACAGCTCTCTTCACACTGTAACATCGGCCCCTGACCGCTCAACGCAACACTCATAGCTCACGTGGGACTGGAGAGGGACACCTTCAGAGCAGGACAGAGGCTGCCGGACCCACAGACCTTTCTTATAAGGGAGACTGGGGAGTCCTAGACTCCCTAATGTAAACACACAAACACCCCAGAAATATAATTTTATACATTGAGACAGGGTATCTCAATGTAGCCCTGGCTGTCCTGGAACTTTCTAAGGAGACTGGGCTGTCCTTGACCTCACTATCTCTGCCTCCTGAGTATTGGAAATAAATGCATGTGCTACTATGCCTGGCTCTGTTTTGTTTTTTGAAGCAGGGCCTAACTCTATACCCAACACTAACATGGAACTCAATATGTAGCCCAGGCTGGCTTTAAACTCTGGGCAATCCTCCTTAGTGCTGGGATTAGAAAGGCATGATCCACTAGGCCTAGCTAGTAAAAGTATTAAGTTCACAGCAACAAGCCTTGCCCTGTTAGGATGGCTGTAATAACCATTAATACAAACAGACTATGCCATCACACCCCTTCATTCCAGCTTCAGCTACCTAAAGACAGCAAACGCCTCATGCTCATCTGGAAATAGCCCACTGGACTAGCGCTGGTCCATCCTCAGGAAGCAGATCTGAGAGCACAGCTGGTTCAGTCTAAAAGCCCCACCCTAGGGTGTCAGCCTCCCCTGTCCCCCAACCATGGCTCCCACCTTCTGAAGGTCCAGAGATGTGGTTCCTGGATGGGCTGACTCCATTCTTGCCTCTAACCCCTACCCATGTCTTGGTACCCAGGGATGGGGGCAGAGGGCTGAGCCAGTTACTTAAGATTCCTCTGGCCACACTGCCCTCCTGGCCTGTCCTGGAGGCAAGAGAAGGAAAGGGGTCAAATACTGGTGCGGGGCAGAAGGCTAGGGCCAGGGTTGAGATTTTTCTGAGACTTCTTGGATCCAGGCCAGCCCTCTCTGTGAGCCTGTAGACTCTCCAGGCCAGGGCAAATGGGGACTCACCGAAACAAAATAGGGGCCGGCAAAGTCCCGGATGACTCCCGTGGATGTGCAGATGCCCATGTGGCCGATAATGGGGAAAAACCACCTATAAGCAAACAGGGCAGGGAAAGGACAGAGCAGGTTAGGCAGTTGGGAAGCACGTGAGACTGCTTCAGGGCGAGTCACATAGCGAGGGAGGTACAGAGGATGGAGAAAGCACCAAAGAAAGGCAACTGTGACTTGGAGCACACTGGGATATCCTGCACCATTGCCATCCCTGATAAAGGACACTAACACCAACACCAAGCATGGGAAAGGACGCAGAGCAGCCAGCTCGTGGACTCTCTGCTGGGGAGATAAAACACTCTCTCGTGGGAAACTGGCAGGCCCTGTAGGCTATGCCTCAGCAGCCCGAGGATGTACAGAAAGAAACAAGGCCCTGTGCACAAACACTGACAAAAACATACATAGTACTCTGAGTGCTTGCTTAACATAAACAAGGCCCTGGGCTTGAACCCTAGAACTGTAAAAAACAAACATCCTTAATGAACTGTGCTCATAAAAATGTGTACTTTTTATTGGAGCTGGAAAGATGGCTCAGAGGTTAAGAGTACTGGCTGCTCTCTAGAGGACTTGGTTCAATTCCCAGCACCCACATGGTGGCTCACAACCATCTGTAATGAGGTCTGGTGCCCTCTTCTGGCCTGCAAGCATATACACAGACAGAATACTGTATACTTAATTTAAAAAAAAGAACTAATGGGAATGGAGAAATGACTTAGCCATTAAGAGCACTTGCTGTTCTTGCAGAAGACCAGGGTTCAGTTCCCAGCACCCACACAGTAGCTCACAACTCCTTAACTCCAATTCCATAGGATGTGAACCCTCTTCTGACCTCCATGACCAACAAGCATGCATGTAGTGCACATATACGCATACAGCAAAACATCCATCCATACAAAATAAAGCGTTTGAAAAATAAATGAAACCATACACACACACACACACACACACACACACACACACACACACACACACGGAAATGCATGTTTAACAGGAAAGTAAGTAAAACTAGCATAGCCTTGCAATAGTTGCAGGTAACAATGAAAACACATTTCTGTTTATTTCTGTCTACATACAATATCGACTCTCAAGAGCACACGCCTGAAAGAAAGCCTGACCTAAGCATATAAAACACAGCACTGTTTAATGTTCCAGAGAAGACAAAGCAAATCTAAGGTTATTGCACTGGCACTAGCAAGATGGGTTCAGCTGTGAGGGTGCCCGCCATCAAGCCTGATAACCCGAGTTTGACTCCTGGGGCTCACATGGTAGAAGGAGAAATGACTCCATAAAGCTGTCCTCTGACCCCCACACGTACAGTGACACACTCACTCCTGTATATACACACACATTAAAAATAAAGTAAAATTTCAAATGTTATTTTAAATTACGTGTATGTGCATGTGTCTGCATGCAGGCAGAATGGGTACCCACGAGTACTGGATCCCACTGAGCTGGCCTTGCAGTGGTTGTCAGCCACCTGACACAGGGGCTGAGAAGTACGCTTGGGCTCTAACACTACATGGTCTTAACTGCTGAACCGTCCCTCCAGCCCATAAACTGAAAAAGAAAGGAAGGAAGGGAGGGGAGGGAGAAAGGTAGAGAGGGAGAAAGAGAAGAAACTTAAAAAACTTTATTGAACTGTATGCCAAGATTTGTGCACCTTACGATATGTAAATAATACTTCAATGAAGACATTTACTGGGGAGGGGTTGTTTAGGGCTGGTAAGATGGATCAGTGGGTAAGATGCAGGATGCACAACGGAAGAGCGAGTGCAGAGCTGAGAAGGCAGGAGGGAGGCCAGAGCAGAGGCTACTGCTGAAGTCCCAGTCCTAGGTGACAGTCTTGGCTAGATAACCATAGTGATGGGTTCAAACTGTTAAAGAGGGCTTTCTTTTCTCCAAGATTAACTTTTAATTATGTGTGTGTGTGTGTGTGTGTGGTGATACGGGATGTTAATGTTTAATCATGTGTGTTGTGTATATCTGTATGTGATGGTATGGGACATGGGTGCAGGTGCCCTTGGAGGCCAGAAGACGACATCTGATCCCCTGGAGCTGCAGTTATCAGCAGTTATGGGTCACAAAATGGGGTACTGGAAACTGAATCTTGGTCCTACAAGAGCAGTACTGGCTTTTAAGCACTGAGCCAGCTCTCCAGCTCTTCCCTAGATGTTGAGTTTTAAGATCCAGGGACTGCAGAGATGGCTCAGTGGGTCAGAGAGCACAGGCTGCTCTTCCAGAGAACCCAGGTTCAATTCTCATAGCAACTCACAACTCTCTGTAACTCCGATTCCAAGGGATTTGACACCTTTACACCAATGCACATAAAATAAATTTAAATATATTATTTTTTTTTTAAATATTTAAGACCTGGTTAAATTTTTTTTAAATATTTAACCCCTGAATCACACTTCATACACAAGCAGACCCATCATCCTGCTGTATCTTCCTCGCCATATCCAAGCACGAGAAATGATCTTTCTTGTTACTCATCAACTGCCTGTTTCTCCTCCTCAAATACTCACGCTCCACAAGAGCAAAGATGTCTAATCTACTGTTACAGCTTCTAAGGTGTGCCTGGCATGGCACATAGCTCCACACCCCCACTAAGTATTTGTCAGCAGAATGCTGACCAAATGACTTGCATTAATAGCAGAGGGGTGCAGCTGGAGAGGAGGAATAATTTCAATGTTCTACAGCACAGTGAGGTAACTATACCTCACAACTAATTGTAGATTTCAAAAGAGTTAGCAGAGAGTATTCTGAATCTTCCCAACATAGAGAAATGGTAGCTGAAGCAATGGATACGCCATTTACCCTGATTTGACCGTCATGCTCTCTGTGTGTATGGTATATATGTGTGTATGGTGTGTGCACATGTGCTCTAGTGGATGTGTGGAGGTCAGAGGACCCTGGGTGTTGCTTTGTCTTCTGCCCCTTAACAGGATCTTACTGCCGTGTACACCAGGCTAGCAGCCTGTGCACGTCTGGGGATTCCCTGTCTCTGCCATCTCACCGTAGGTGTCCTGAGTTCCTATGCCAGTCTTTGCATGGGTTCTCGGGATCTTATGCTTGTGAGGCAAATATTTTGCCCACCCATTTTAAAAATACCTATTAGAGCTGGGCAGTGGTGGCACACACCTTTAATCCCAGCACTAGGGAGGCAGAGGCAGGTGGGCTCTGTGAGCTCAAGGCCAGCCTGGTCTACAGAGTGAGTTGTGGGTTCTAGGGCAGGCTGGAGCAGGCTCTTTGTTCCCATCTTCCTGCAGAATAACAAGTGCTTTGCTGAAGGCGCACTGCTTCCTTTCCACCTATGTAAAACGCTGCGCACACGTGGAGCGAGCGCACAGTGTTGCACCAAGGCAGTCAGTAAACCCTGCTACCTGACCGAGAGAGTGAGCCGCTGACAATCGCAGTGAACACAGGCCTGAAGTCAAGAACTGTGGGCAATGACTCCCCTGGCTCAGAACCCAATCCCAAACTCTTTGAGACCAGATTCCTTTCAACTGGCAGGGGACCTGGCTCTGAGCTGCCGGCTGATGGAGCTGGGAATGAAGGTGGAAGAGACAAGGCTAAAGCACTGTGCCCAGCAAAGTCCCAGGGAAGGAACTCTCGACACATCTTGTCAGGCATGCTCCAGAGCTCAGTTAGCTGCTGTCTCCTCTGGACCTAGGACAAACGTGGTCCTTGGTAAAGGGTTAGTGAATGAAGGGGTTGCTAGCCCTGGAGTTTGACTTTACCCCCTCATCTACATACAGCACAACAGCATCCGCTTCCACAGCTGACGTGAGGACCCATGACGACAATCAATGGCAAATGTTCAGCTGTTTGGTTATTAGCAGCAGCTACTGTTAGCAGCTCAGAATTGGGGACAGGTCTTGGGCTCATGGTCTTCCTCAGATCTACCTCCCACAGGGGACTCTCATGCCTGTGAGTAGAGAGTCTGAAGAGAACCAAGATGTACGCTGCTTCTAGCCTGGACTGCGGGGAACTCCGTGTCTCTACCTCAAGCCACTACCACTTCTCTGCAGAGGACCATGCCACAAAGAGTTCTAAAAACTAGGAGCTGATCCGATGGCTCAGTGTGTAAAGGCACCTGTGCCGAGTCTAATGACCCGTTTAATTCCTAGGACTCACGCGGCAGAAGAACTAAGTCCTGTAAGCTGTCCTCTGACCTCCATGGGTACTCATACACTTATAGTATATATTATGTATTAATCGTGCTGCAATATGTGTGTGTGTGCGTCTGTGTGTATTTCAAAACAGAGTTTCTCTGTGTAGCCTTGGCTATCCTGGAACTCAATCTGTAGACCAGGCTGGCCTCAAACTCAGAGATCCACCTGCCTCTGTCTCCTGGCTCGTGACACCACCACCTGGCAGAAATAACTTTTTAAAATGAAGGGATGAGGAAAAGGCCAACAGGGCTAGCTGTGGGCGCATATCTCGCGACTCCGTTCCAGTCTAGTTAGAGAATCTGTGTTGGACCCACACGGGCTCCGACAGCTAGCGTGACAAGTTCTCACACAGTTCGTTCTCTTCCTGGCTCTACTCCATATCTGGGGCTCTCTCCATTGGTCACTTGTTATTCTCCACCCTCCCATCACCTCAGGAGCAAGCAGCACCTGCTTTCCTCGCCAGGGTGTGGCTATATACCTAATACACCCGGGCCTTGCTACCTACAGCTACAGAGGCATAACAAGTCAATCAGCCAATGTGTTAGAGGAACATTTAACGAATTAACAAGCACATATTGTAAGTTGCTTTTTGTTGTTGTTGTTGTTCTGGTTTTTCTTTTTTTAGCTTTGTTTTTTTTGATCCAGGGTCTCCCTCTGGAACCCTAGGTTGCCCTGGGCCTTGCTCTGTAGCCTAGGATGGCTTTGATACTCTCAGGGACCCTCCTACCTTAATCTCTTGGAGTGCTCTCAGATCAGAAATGTGAACTACAGTGCCTAGACTCAGACTTCGATATTTTTCTTTTACGGTTTATTTACTTTTACTTATTTAAAGGTTTTGCCCTGCATGCGTGTATATGTTGTGCACCACCTGTCTGCCTGGTGCCCATCAGATCCCCGGGAACTGGTGATACAGACAGCTGAGTATTATCACAAGGGCGCTGGGAATTGAACCCTGGTTTGCAAGAGCAACAAGTGCTCTCAACCACTGCGTCACTGATTTAGCCCCACTCCCATCCCGTTTTTGCCTGTCTCCTGAGTGCTGGGATCACAGGTGTGCCGGGATCACAGGTGTGCATCACTATGCCCAGTCCCCACCCTAGTTAAGACAGTCTCTCTCACTGGCTTGACGAGACTAGCTGGCCAGCAAGCCTCAGAGAGCCTCTCATCCCCACGCCCTCAGCTCTAGGATTGCAAGCAATGCACTGCTGCACTTAGTTTCTCACGGGGGACAGGAACCCAACACTAGGCTCTTCACATGGCAAGCCCTTTACCGACTGAGCCATCTCCCCAAATTGTTTAATGTAACACAAAAGTTAGAGTCATTAGCTGGATAGGGTGTTATATACCTGTAGTTCCAGAACCCAGAAGCCTGAGGCAGGGGGATCAGGAGTTTAAAATCAATATGAGGTACATAATAAATACCAGCCCAGGCTGGGCTACATATAAAAATCTTGTCTTAAAACCAATCAAATAAATGCAAAAACAAAAGATTAAAGCGACTTTAGGAAGTTGCACCTATGTTCCTGCTTCTCTTCTTCCACCAGGAGGCAGACACCTAGGTATCTGATTTGGTTTAACTCAGAAGATATGGGGGGGTTAAATGTTGGCATGGGCCTCCCCGTGCTGACATTCCACGAATCAGTGTGGCCTCAATCAAACTCACCTTTGCTTCTAAAGGCAAAATGTCTTGCGTACAGCAGATGGCCAAGTAAGCATTCATTTGCGCAATGAGTGAAAACCAAAACCAAAACAAACAAAACGGGGAATAGCCGGGCAATGGTGGCGCACGCCTTTAATCCCAGCACTCGGGAAGCAGAGACAGGCGGATCTCTGTGAGTTCGAGGCCAGCCAGGTCTACAGAGTGAGTTCTAAGGCAGGCTCTAAAACTACAGAGAAAACCTGTCTCGGAAAAACAAACAAAAAAACAAAACCAAAAACGGTGGAATGAATGAACATACTTCTTCAGACAATGGTTAAAGGACTTTTCTGTACACCTGCAGCTTACGAGCCTGCTAGTTACCTGCCTTTCCCGCTGATCTACCCTTGTCCTCCTCCCCAATTAGACTAGAGGTAACCATGAAGAACGGAAGCATGCATGCGCGGTAACGCACTGTACAGGTGGCAGGGTTCTAGGGACCGGGTGCCGGTTGGCCCAGGGTAAGGGTTGCCCCAAGTCTGAGAAAAAGCTAGTACGGCACACCGGAGGACGCTCGGGCCCTCCCCGTCTTCGCGGTGACACCGGAAGACACTCACGTGAGGACCGGGATGGGCGTCCATACCACGCAGTAGGGGAAACGGCTCCGCTCCACGTCCATGGCGACGCCACCGGACCCGTGGTACTGCTTCAGGTCCGTCTCGGCCGCCGTCGGTGCTTCTACTTCCGCCATCCGAGTAGGGGGCGGCGGCGGCTGCGACAGGAGCGGAGAACTCCCTTCCGCTTCCGCCATGCTGCGCGCGGCCCGCTCGGACAGGCCCAGCTCGGGAAGGCCTGGCTGCGGCGCCGCTCGCCCCTGTTTCGTCACTTCCGGGAGGTTAGGGGTCCGCCTGGTTGGTCTTCCCTCCGGGAATTGAAGTCTTGTCCTTTTGTGCCCGGCCAGCCTAGCCTCTTCCCGCGGTCCTCAGGCAGCTCTCCGTCTAGCACTAGGGAGACCCACAGCCAATCGCGGTTCGGTTCGCCGGCACGTGATGCAGGCAGTATTTATTGAGCACTTCCTAAGTGCCAAGCACTTGACATCCATTGTTACTACTTTCCATAAACTATTTAGACATGCACACTTAGTTGTCTTCCTCAGTTATAAGTAAGAAACTGAGGCTTGATGAGGTCTCGAGGGGCCGCGATCCAAACCCGATCCAAACGCGACACAAATCTTTAGATTTCCTTTGTACTTTTTATTCTGTGGCATGTTACAGATAGTGTAAAATCTTTGTGTGTGTGTGAGAGAGAGACACATCTCGCAGTGAGCAAGGATGAAAGACGATACTAATATCTGCCTCGGGCCTGGGGAAGGTACGGAGGATGCAAAGATTCAAAGACGGGAAAGCTGAGAGGGTCATTGCTTGCAGGAGAAAGACTATCATTCTGGCCAAAGGATACGTAGATAGAACCTTTCTATTGTTGTTTTGGGGACGGTAGTTTTTTTTTTTTTTTTTTTTTTTTGTTTCAAACTGGGTCTCACTAAGAAGCTCTAAGTGTCTTGGAACTCACTCTGTAGATCAGGCAGTTCTCAAACACATAGAGATCAACCTGACTCTACTTCCCAAGTGCTGGGAATTAAAGGAACGTACCACTATGCCAGGTCCTT